GCGGAAACTTGCTATCTTAACACAGAAGGCTTTCTGATTCTTTGATCAACTCTGCTCCACGAGCAAACCGACGATTGTTCAAAAGTACTCCTTTGCTTGCACTACATTAGCTGATTCGTTGTTTCCCTTAGCACCACAGTTATGCACCTTGTTTTACTTCGTGAATAGTGGAACAATGTGCGACGAAATTTTATCTGTCTTATGAACAGAGGCTTTGTTAGAACGATGGTTGTCAGTCGCCAAACTATTTGATGGCTTTTCTCTGTAGTTCTAAGCAGTCAGGAGCCGAATGGAGTATAACTGTATTCAATAAAAATCTACGACAATGGAAAAATCCTAACGGCACTCAGCTATTTTCCTTATTATGAACTCTCTGCCCGGAGCTAATTTCAGTTTTGAGTGTGTTTAATCTCTTCCGAATGAGTCGTTTCCCATTCCCAGCACTGAATGTTTTTGTCTAAACATTGCGCATCTGTGTTTGTTTTTTCTCCGCGTAAAGATGCTGATGAATTTGGACGATGATTTAGCAAACAGACCGCGAGATCAGATTCCTGTATTCTGAGGGATGATTCCACGCGTTCAGTGAGGCTGCCTATCGCGCCTGTCAATCAATCAAACCAGGCTATTTGCCTGTTCCATCAAATCGATCACCGTTTGACGATTCTCCCCGCACTGTCTTTCAGATCCTCGACCGTGAATGTTTGCCGTCCTAACCAGTGCTACCACAACCTTTCCTATTTTCAACCACTCTCTTTATCCGTGTCCATAAACAGATATATTTAAAACGCCGTAATTCGCTGCTGTTTGTTTCCTCTTTGTCATTAAATAAACCATCTTGTGGTTTTGTAATTTGTAAATCCTTGCATAACTGTACATTTTCATAAACTGAAACTTATTTCTCTCTTCTGGCCTCTATCGTTTCGAAATAGAGAACTAGGTAGATCAGATATGCTGGAAAGATAGCGTTTGTTAGTTAGAGTCAGTCGGTTCGGATCTTGGTGGATTTTTGTTATGATTCCTTACTAGTATGCAGCAGCGCTTATCATTAGTGAGCGACTCGGTTACGCCCATTTGAAGCAATGAACACATTTCAACCAGCGATGCTAACTTAATCTAATTGGCTGTGAATGCGAATGCCGAGACCTGGCTTAACAGAAAAGTGGCTGTCGTTTGCCTGTGCCAAACTATGCGAACATTGCAGCCCAAAAACATCTACTAGACGGAGTTCTAAAGTCTGAGAACCTTACGCATAGTGAAGAAACTACGCTACTTACAATCTGATGCCGACTGACCGATTTCCAATATAAAGGTAGAAAATAAAACTGATAGGGATTTACAGATTACTTTGTGTTTGAGAAAAAAAATCAAAAAAGACAAACAAACAAAGCAGGGACATTGATATAGAAGTACATATGCTAATCTTTGTTGAATAGGTTGGATCACATGCCCGAAACCTGTCATGTCACAGAGTGGGCGAGTGTGATTCTCAACTCATTCATCCCGAGGATCAAAGCGATTCACAGTCGTATGAACAGAGATCGGAAGGAATCGCGTCTGGGGAAATACGTACATCTACCGCGGAACGAACAATGTGTGTTGCGCACCGTGGAAGGACCTGTAAGNNNTGGGGGGGGGGGAGATAATATCATTTTTCTTTATTAACTGCATGCAATAGTTCAGGGATTAAAAATGTCCTCTAGCCGAATGATGTCTTGAGCCTGTAGTAGAAATCCTAGCGGAATCAACGAAGTGCATTAACCCTGACAAGCTAAAGATAAGCAACTAATATTGAGTCAAAAGAGAGCAGACATACTCTTTTCTGTAAATGAGTAGACAGATAGCAGTTAGAACAACGTGGGAAAACGCGTGCATGGACACAGGCGGTCCATTTTCAGGTTCCTTAGGCATGGGATCAGACGTTTAACTGACCTCGGCAGCGCAATGCGTGTCACGAACAGACCGCTGATTGGATCGATAGACACGTGTGCGTTCAGTTTCGTTTTCACAACCATGCACCTTCGTGCGAAGGCTTTGGCTGCAGCCCATTCGGACAGAAGAGTAGACCAGAGATTGGAATGTTGTGAGTAGGGTCAAAGAATCAACCGATAATGAATAGATAGAACGAAATGAAACCTATTTCTTATCAATCACCTGTGTGTCGTGTAGTCATCCGAAGACGAATTTGGAATACTACTGTGATGAACACCAAGTGCGGTAGATCGCGTAAGCGTGGGCACATACTGGACTAGTAATCAACGCCCTCTGACACAAATGAGCGTGATGAGTAGCACAGGCATGAAATCTGAAGAAATAATGATATGCTACTTATTTTTCCGGGCACAAAATGATAAATGGAGGCGGAGGACTTAGAAAGGTGAACTACATAGGGCCCGTGTAGGATATACTTGACATACAGCACGATGGTGAGACTATTTACCATCAAAGTTTGGTGGTCGTAGTACAGCTCGATTCCCGGAATTTGCGAGCAGGTGCACGACAGCTAAATGAAGACAGTGCTTGAGTTGAACGGTTTCCTACTTGTAACGTTCATTTTCTTTCATTCCATGTGTTCGTTGTACTATTCGCACCGTTTTCATCTCCGATGCACGGGTGACGGAAATTGAGGCCATATGTAGCAGTCTGCTTCTACCTTTAGCCGAGAGCCTTTTCGGGTGTCAAATCCGTTCAGGACTTTTTCTTTTAGCTGTTCACGGTACAAATATCGTGCCAGAGAGTGATCGGGACCTAGTGCACGGTCTGTGTGGGGTGCAAGATTCTGGTGCATATATTTATACATTGCAGCGGCACCTTGTGCTAGCAATGACTTCGAATAATCACGTTCAAGCCATTTCCCAGCACAACCTAACAAACTGCGCACTATTATTTCGCGGCACCAAAATTTTGATGTGACCTGTGTCCAGCCCTGATTTAAACCCAAAAGAAANCGAACTTCACTGACCGCCGCCAAACTCACAACGCATACAAGGTTAGTGGTAAAATTTAAGTTGGACAGGGGTTGGATCTATTTTGAGGAACGGAGAAGATGAGCCACTATGGTCAACACAGAGTACGCAATCGAACTCTGC